ACATGTTATTGTCGTACTGGCCAGCTGCGGCTTAAATAGGTACGTCAGGCAATATTATTTCGAGGTGTTCGTATTCGCATCGATAATACTGGATTAGCTTACGCAGTCTTACGATCACCACTGCTTTAAACAAGGTCCGGAACGAGGACACTTTGTGGCACTAGCGTCGTCTACTTACACCATAATAGTAATACATTAATCAAACAAGTTTAACAAAATTTGAACAAGAAGCGCCACTGTTACCAAATGACGAAACGATTTCTAGTGCGCAGGTCCATCAAAGTGTTTTTCCCGACATAAATGACAGACAAATTATTTATTTAAAAAAAAAAACGGGTAGAGCTCTCGAGAAGGTTTCACCTTTAAAAAAAAAGACATTTGGGGTCCCCGAGAAGGTTTCACATTCTTAAAAAAAAAACCGTTGGAGCCCCCGAGAAAGTTTTAAAAAAATACATTTAGGCTCTCAGAGAAGGTTTACATTCTTAAAAAAAAAATTGTTGGGACTCCGGAGAACATTTCACCTTCTTAAAAAAAGACTGTCGAAGCCCCGAGAACGTCAACGATATTTTAGCATTGGAGTTTCAGAACGTTTGATGATTTTCTAATAAATTCACATACTCGTATGTTACTCCTAGTTTCATTTTCGTATTTTCTTAAGTTGTTGATGAAATGCACAATATTCTTTTTTTAGCTGCAGTTTGTTGTTATGAAAATTAAGTACAAATTTCTATTACGAATTTCTCAAGTCAAATAATTATATTTTGTATCTAGGTATATGACTTTTTTTTTGTAACCTTATTTTGCCGCTTTTTTAAAATTTCCCGTTTTTTTTGCCGCGTTCTTTGACACTTTGTCTCCTTTCTATCGTTTTGTTATCGCTTTTTGTAGCAATTCTTTTGGTGCCTTTTTTGTTGTTTTGTCTTCTTTTTTTCATTTGTTGTTGCCCTTTCATTTCACTTTTTTGTTGCTTTTTGCTCTTATTTTTCCTATTGCCTCTTTTCGGTTGCTTTGTTGCTTTTTTTTAATTGCTTTATTGCTCTTCCGCTTTTCTGTCTCCTTTTTTGTTTTCGTTTTTGGTCAACTTTATTTTCGTTTTTTCTGTGACTGTTTTTTGTTTTTGTTCACAATTTTTTTCTTTTGTGGCTTCTTTTTTTCGCGTTTTTTTTTTTGGAATGCGTTCTTTTGTCGCTTTTTTAGAATTGTTCTCTCTTTTCGTATTTTTTTATTTTTTTTTGTTGATATTTTTTTTGTTTTTTCTTCTACCTTTTATTGTCGCTCTTGAATCCCGTTTTTTTGTTGGTTCTTTGTCCTTTTTTTTTCTTTTGTTTCTTTTTATTTCTTCCCTCTCTGTTTTAGTTTTTATCATCTTTATTTTCGTTTGTTTGCCCTTTTTGTCGCAATTTTTTATCGTTGCTTTTTTTTTGTATTTTTTGTCGCATTTTTTTCGTTTCTTTTTTACTTCTCTTATTTTGTCGCGTTTCATTTTGTCGTTTTGTTTTTTTTTCGTAGCATTTTTTGTCTTCTTTTTGTCTCCTTTTTTTCAATCGGTTTTTTTTCTATTTTTTCCACTCCTTTTTTCGCGTTTATTCCCTCGTTTCTTTGTTTTTTTCATCTTTTTTTTTGTGTTTTTTTCGTTGCCTTTTGGCCGCTTTTTCTGATCACATTTTTCTAATAACCTCCTTTTTTTCTCTTCTTTTGACTCTTTTTGTAATACAACTTTTCTGTCGTTATTTTTACGAGCTTTTTTTGATTTTTTTTTGTCGCTTTTGGCCTCTCTTTTAATTTTTTATGCCGTGGTTTTATAGGTTTTTTGTAGATTTTTTTTGTGACGCTTTTTTGTTTTTTTCTCATTTTCAATCGTCTATTTCAGTTTTTCGTCGTTTTTTGTCTTCTTTTCTAGTTTTTTTTGCATCTGTTTTCTGACTTTTTATCGGTTTTTTTCATTTTTGATTGTTCTTTTTCTCTTTTTTTTGTGGCTTTGTTATCGCTTTTTTGTAATATTTTTTTGCCTATTTTTTTTTCTTTTGGTTACTTATTTGTTTTTCTTTTGGTTACTTATTTGTTTTTCTTTTTTGTCATCTTTTTTTTTTGCTTCTTTTTTGTTCGCCTCCTTTTTTTTCGTTTTTTTCCCTCGTTTTTTACTTTGTTATCGTTGTTTTTTTTCTTAGAGTCTCTGAAATCTCTCCGGTCTCGGAATATCTAAATCTTTGGGAATACTAAAATTTGTGAAACACTTGGAATCTTTATTTTTTCAAAATTTTCGACTCTTCGAAATCTTCAGAATTTTTGTGATCTTCGGCCTTGGAAATATTCAAAATTTTCAGATTCTTTAAAATATTCAAAATCTGTCGGGTCTCGGAATATTTAGAATCTTTGGTATTAGTCGAATTTCTAAAACATTTAGAATATACTTCTGCAAAATCTTCAGAAGTTTTAAAATATCTGAAATCTCTAGGTTCTGGATATCCAGAATTTTTGAAATTTCTGGAATAACATAACTGAAACCTTTGAAATCTTTATAATCTTCAGAATTTTTTGAATCTTCAAAATCGCCAGTTTTCAAAATCTTTAGAACCTCTGGAATATTTAGAGTCAGAATATCAGGATTTTTTTGAATTTTTGTAATCTGTGGAATCTTTAAGAGTCCCGGGATGTTCGGAACATTCTGGAACCTTTGGAATATTTATAATCTTTAGAATCTTGGCAATCTTCAAATTCTTCAGAATTTTGGTATTTCAGTTTTCGAAATCTTGGGAATTTCTATAATCTTAGAAATTCTTGGAATCTTTGAAACCTTCGAAATCTTTAATTTTTCAATCTTCGAAACAGTCGAAAACTTCAGAATCTGTAGAATCCTAGAATCTAAAATTTCTCGAATCGCTAGAATCTCAAATACGCTCTATACTCTCTAGAATCTCTGTAGAATATATAGCACATTCAAAATCTTCGGAATTTATGCAATTTGTAGAATCCCTAGAATCTTTGAAATCTTTAGAATATTCGGGAATATTCGAAGTCTTCAAAGCTTCAGAATTTTTGGAATATTTAGTCTTCGAAATCTTCAGAATCCTTAGTATCTCTGCAGTCTTAAGTCTTGGAATTTCCGTATTTTTTTAATTTTGTGGAATCTCTGGAATCTTTGAATCCATTAGAATATTTACAACCCTAATTTTTGTTGCTTTTTTTGTCTTTTTTTGTCCCCTGCTTTCATCGTTTTTTTTTTTGTAGAATTTTATTGCGTTGCCTTTTCGTTGTTTTTTTCCATTTTCTCTCGTTTATTTCGTTTTTCGTCGTTTTTCTCCTCTTTTTTTTTATATTTTTTGTAACATTTTTTTGCCGACTTTTATTTTCTTTTACTTTTTTTGTTGCTTATTCTCCTTTTTGTCGCTTTTTTATAGTATTTTTCGCCTTTTTTCTCGCCCCTTTTTGTCGTTTTTTGTTACCTGTAAAAATAGAACCTCCAATTGTCTTTTTTTTTGAGAAGGTGAAACCTTCTCGGGGCTTCAACTGTTTTTTAAAAACGTAAAAGCTTCTCAAGGGCCCCAACTGTCTTTTTACAAAGCAGTTGAAACCTTCGCGGGGGTCCCAAATGTCTTTTTTTTTAATGTGAAACCTACTCGGGGTCCTAACAGTCTTTTTTTAAGAAGATGAAACCTTCTCGTGGCCTCCAACTGTTTTTTTTTAAGAACGGGAAACCTTCTCGGGGGCTCCAAATGTCTTTTTTAAAACCTTCTCGAGGCCCCTGACTGTCTTGAAATCTTGTTGGACTCTCAACCGTTTTTTCCAGGAGAACGACAAATTTAATGGTAAAGTGTATATTTGGTTGCATAATTTAATTTTTAATTTCTAATTTTTAAGAAAAATATTAATCAAAAATATGGTAACTAACAGGTTGTTTAAGGGCTAAACCCAGTTGTTTTTGCAACAAATTAACACAAAATTAAACATGTTTGATAGATTTAAAATTCCGCATATAAAATCAGGCAGCTTTTAATCGTTTTCCAATTTAGTCGTGGTAAGACTGTTGGAGAATTTTTAATGCAAATTTTAAAAATATTAATACCGTCATTTAGCAACTACGACTTAACTATAATTAACTTCTTAATAGTAAAAATCATACTTACCTTAACCAAATATGTACTTACTCACAAGTTCACTACAAATTTCTAATCAAGAGGCAGAATTTTCTTCCGATTTTATTATTGTATTAACGAAAGCTATTCAAGTTAGTAAAATGCTTGTTAGTAAAAATGAAACACACACCTCAAAAAATAATTACTTTAATACAAACTTTAGTAATCAACGTACTGCAGTGCAAATGATCGCTTTAAGTACTGGAATGTTTAAATACTTAACAAGCTAACAAGTGTCATTTAGGCTACTAATTAGAGACTACGGAACTACTTTTAATAACATGCTTGATTTTTGGTATTGCACAAAATGCTCGTACCGTTAATCAAACTGATCAATTTGACCACGGTACAAAGCCACAAGTCTTGTGATATCGAGCACAAACGTCTGAAAAACAACGGAAAAGACGCACTTACCTAGAAGCCGTTTTAACAAAAAGCAAAAGTAGAAAAATAAAAATAATCAGTTTAATATTCTATAATTATTGTAAATAGACGTGTATATAGATATAAAGAAGATCCGCCGTCTATGGTGATTGTATTTATCCGAGTCCGTGGTCGTCGAAAAACCCTTGTGGGGTTTCTTCCTACAACAAAGAGCACAGCGGTTAGAAGAAATAACGAAAAAACACCAATATGAATGTGGATAATATAGAAAATAAATAAAAATAAAGTCACATACCTAAAAATTTGTGATTCCGTGCACTTTTCACTCCATTTATCCACTTTCATATTGATTGTTTTGACTCATTCAAGCTTAATTATACAATTTAAATGTCCTTACAAAGCGTCGCCACCGAGATAACAAAGCTGGCAAGGTTCAAGTCGGCGCAGAAAACGTTATGGGATGTTATTAAGTGCACAAACAAATCTACTTATCTTCGTATATTAAATACTGTATTACAACTACAAGTACCCATCAGAAGTGTTAATAGTAAATAATAACTACCAAAAATATTAGTACATGGCAAGTTAATTAGTTCTGGAGACACAAATGGACAATCACATCGTGCGCTGTAGGTATATTGGTGCGAATATAAAATGGAAGTTTCATTAATGAAGTGTTGTGTATACGCTGAGTACACAATGACGTAGTTTAACATTATACAACAAAAAAGTGTGAATAACTACTTATCTTAAGCACTGGGCAAGCAAATCACGTTCTGAAAACAAAATCGACTGTTCGAAAGACTTATTGCTCGTCGGTATTAAAAAAATAGATTTTTTGAGACAAGGAGAAAATTTCTTCGGAAAATGTGTAGTTGTGTCTTCGTGTACGAGGCTACAGCAAACCAATGTCCCTTAAAGCACCTTCCACCGCTTCATCCTTTAGGAAAGAATAATAAGAAACTATCTATAACTACTTAACTATAAGTGAGAACAGGAACATGATGCACATTTTTGTTTCCTTGTAAATCTAGATCTGCATCTAGGGATTTATAAGGAAGCAACCGTTCTACCACCTCAACAATATGTCAAGCAACGTTACATCAAGCCATACAGTTATTTACATCAAGTCAAACTACAAAAATCAAGATTGAACTTTTTATTGTTGTATCGATAGTACATAATCACCAAAAAGTATAACTAAAACAATCGAGAACATGTTATTGTCGTACTGGCCAGCTGCGGCTTAAATAGGTACGTCAGGCAATATTATTTCGAGGTGTTCGTATTCGCATCGATAATACTGGATTAGCTTAAGCAGTCTTACGATCACCACTGCTTTAAACAAGGCCCGGAACGAGGACACTTTGTGGCACTAGCGTCGTCTACTTACACCATAATAGTATACATTAATCAAACAAAATTAACAAAATTTGAACAAGAAGCGTCACTGTCACCAAATCACGAAACTATTTCTAGTGCGCAGGTCCAATTTTAAAATTCCCGCGTTAAAGCACCCTAACAAAATGGCCGACACGAATGTCGCTTCTTGTACAATTTAGTTAATCTTCTTTGCATTAATCATTAATTTTACAAATTACACGCTACATGCAATCATGCGATTTTAGTAAAATCGTTATTTAGTAAAATATACATGCAATTTAGTCACTTACTGGTTACTTTTTTGTGTAATCGATTTTTAATGGTCACACAAATAACAAAAATCGGTGACGATTAAAAATTTGTACCTTGGCATCACATCGTTTGTAAAATTAGACCCTATTGTAGCATAAAAATTGTCTTTAAAAGCTATTTGGCAACATAGTAAATTTTAGCGTTACTTTACGAACATATGGCAAACTGACGATCAATTGTCGTTTAGGTCCTTGAGTGCACAAAATAAAAAATAACAGATAACAAAACATATACATGTCAAGCACGTAGTGATGATTACATCGAGAGTGCAACAGAGCTATAGAAGAAGAAAGTAAAAGTAACTAACATCTGGACACTGGAACTGCCTATCTTAGACTAGACTAAATCTCTACATAAATAAGTCATACTTACCGACACACAATAAAACGTACTTTGGAAATTAACAACTATTTTAATGAGAATCTTTGTGAACGACAACTGTCCAAATGTTAGCTCAATGACTATAACTCAATATTTCCATGACTAACCTCTTGTAAGAGATCCTGGGCCGCTATTGCTTTGAGTATTGTCTTTTTGCTGGTCTCCTGAATTTCCCCTCCTAGAAGTAGTTCGTCCAGGATAAAATACGCCTTCTCGAAGTTAAAAATTATGTCCAATTCGCACACCTGGAATTAATTTAGTAAGAAAAGGGACACTCACCGGCAGATACGTACGCTTCCGAAATACTTATCGAGCAACTCCACGTATCTGTGAATTACTTCCAGCGTGAGCAGCTCGTTGTCTTCTTGCTCGATAGCGCAACAAAAGTACAAACTGGCGTATCTACGAAAACGGGTGAAGATTAATTGGGGGGAAACTAGTTGGGGGTTACCGCTTATAAACGATTTTCAAGTCTCTCCACTCCAAGAAGCTGCACATTTTTGGTTTTCGGGCTAATATCGTGGTGATCAGTTCCCGGGTTATTTTTTTCTTTAGCTTGTCGGGGTGTGCCACGTACCATTTTTGTAGACGGAGTTTGCCTTGTCGGCTAAATAATAGCATGAACTGCATCTGAAATGCGACGTTGCGAGGGTGGCGATTGTGGTGGAAGGGTACGTACCATAAACCAACCAAGAGGGCGGTTTTTTAGTGTTAACAAAGTTGTGTTTCTACCATATACACTGATTGTGGGTTTGGTGGTTCTGGATTAGAAACACCTAGGTAAACATGATAAATAAATTGTCAACCATTACATGTCAAATGATGATGTCATTTGTCTGATGGTTTACGTTTGGTGATAAAACGAATTTCCCTGAGTTGGTCGTATTGCTGGTTGCCTAACGTCAACGATATTTAGCATTGCATTTGCAGAGTGATAACAATCTTCTAATAAACTCACATATTTTACACGGTTTCGTTTTCTTATTTTTTTAAGTTGTTGATGGAACACAGTATTTTTTTAACTGCAATATTTGTTGTTATGAAAATTAAGAAAAAAGTTTCCCGTTTTTTGTCGCGTTTTTCATCAAGTTTTTTCTCTTTGTTATCGGTTTTTTACGCATTTTTTATTGTTTTTGTCTTCATTTTTTTTTGTCACACTTTTTTCTTTTTGTCGTTTTGTTATTGTTTTTTTGTAGCATTTTTTGGCGTTTTTTGTTTTTTTACCCACCTATTTTTCAATTGTCTTGTTTTAGGTTGTTTAGTCGCTTTTTATTTAATTGCTTTATTGCTCTTTTACTTTTCTATCGCCTCTCTTTTTCGTTTTTTTTTCCTTACGCAATTTTTTGTCGCTTGTGTATCCTTTTTTTTTGCTGGTTTTGTTAGCGCAATAATCACGAAAACGATGGAATGTGCTTGTATATGTTTATTTACAACATCAACAACTAATTGTTATGTACAAGTGTACTCGTCGTACTGTTCTCCTCGGTTGTTCGGAGACGACTCTTCTCGTCGATTGTTCGGAGACGACTGTCGGTCCACCCCCTGGTCACTTCCCAGAAGGAAGGGGTAGGTTAGCGGGCGATTACCTGGTTGGTCGTAAAAGCGGTACCAGGTTTTTTGTTCTTTTTTTCAATCGTCTCGTTTTTGTTACCTTTATTTTCGATTTTTTGTCTTTTTTTGTCGTTTGCTTATCTTATTTTCTGGCATTTCTTTTTGTTGTCTTGTTGTCGTTTTTTGTAGCACTTTTCGTCGTCTTTTTTTTTTCTAGTCTTTTTTCTTTTTTCTTTTTCCTCGCCTTTTTTCGCGTTTATTCCCACGTTTCTTTGTTCATTATCGGTTTTTTTGTGTTTTTTTATTTTTTCGTCGCTTTTTTGACCGCTTTTTCTTATAGCATTTTCAATCTCCTTTTTTTCTCTTCTTTTGACGCGTTTTGTAACGCGTCCCCTGGTTTTAAAGGTTTTTTGTAGATTTTTTTGTGTAGTTTTTTCTTTGTTTTCTTTTCTCCTTTTTCACTCGTCTATTTCGTTTTTTCGTCGTTTTTGTCCTCTTTTTTGTAATATTTTTTTTGCCTGTTTTTTTGTCACCCTTTTTTTTCTCTTTCGTCACTTCTTTTTTGTTCGCCTTTTTTTGGCTTTTTTCCTTCATTTTTTTTGTTCGTTATCGTTATTTTGTAGTGTTTTTTCGTCGTCTTTTTTTCAACGTTCTTTGTCTTTTTTTTCTATATATATTTTGGTTATTCGTCACCTATTTTTTAGCTCTTTCATGTAGCAATTTTTGTTGCCTTTTTTGTTTTTTCTCCTCTGGATTTGTAGTTTTTTTTATAGAATTTTTTGTCGCTTTTTCTTTGTTTTTTTCTCCTTTCTCCCTCGTTTATTTCGTTTTTTCGTCATTTCTGTCCTCTTTTTTGTAGCATTTTTGCCGACTTTTTATCATTCATTACCTTTTTTTGTTGCTTTTTCTCATTTTTTGCCGATTTGTTATCGTTTTTTATAGTATTTTTTTCCCTCTTTTGTCTTTTTTTTTTCTCGCCCCTTTTTTTGTCCTCTTCTGTTATAAACTTTTTTCTTTCGGTTACTTATTTGTCCGTTTTTTTAAATTATTTTTTTGTTCGTTTTCTTCCTGCCGTTTTTTTCATTTGCCATTTTAATTTTTGTGTTTTTGTAACAATTTTTGCCCTTTTTATTAATTTTTTTGTCATTTTTTATTCCGCCTTTTTTTTGTTATATTTTTGTCTCATTTTTCCACGTTTTTTTTTTGGCAGTTTTTGTCACGTTTTCTTTGTCATGTCTTTTGGTCTTTGTTTCTTTTTTTGTCACCTTTTTGTCCCTTTCTTGTGTCGCTTCTTTTTTGTTCGCCTTTTTTTTGATGTCTTTTTCCTTGTTTCATTGTTCGTTAGCGTTGTTTTGTAGCATTTTTTCGCCACTTTTTTCATCGCTTTTTCTTTGACCTTTGACCTCTTTTTTGTGTTTTTTTGTCAACTCTTCTGGTCTTTGTTTCTTTTTTTTGTCACCTTTTTTTCCTTTATTTTGTCGCTTTATTTTTGTTCACCTTCTTTTTTGGTGTTTTTTGCTCGTTTTTTCATCGTTATCCTTGTTTTGTAGTATTTTTCGTCGCATTTTTTTCATCTCCTCTGTTTTATATATATATTTTGGTTTTTTGTCACCTTTTTTTTAGCTTTTTCATGTAGCAATTTTTGTTGTCTTTTTCGTGGGTTTTGTCCTTTTTTCTTCATCGTATTTCCGTTTTTTTTGTTATCGTTCTTGCCCTTTTTCTGTTTTTTTTTTCCACTTTTAATGTATTTTTTGTGGTACTATCTTATCGGTTCTATTGTCACTTTTTTGTTGTATTTTTCCTGCTTTTTTCCTATCGCTTTTTTATTTTTTTTGTAAATCATTTTTGTCTTTTTTTGTGGCTTTTTTTTGTTTATTTTGTAACTTTTTTTGTATTTTTCCTTTCTTTTCGTCTTTTTGTTTTTTTTTGCTTTTTCGTCGCTTTGTTATTTTTCTTTTTACGACATTTTTGTAACCCTTCTTTTTTAATAGCTATTTGTGCCTTTTTTGTCCATTTTTTTGTATTCTTTTTGTCCTCTTTTTTTAATAGCATTTTTTGCCGACTTTTTATCGCTTTTTACCTTTTTTGTTGTTTTTTCTCCTTTTTTGCCGCTTTGTTATCGCTTTTTTATAACATGTTTTGTCTATTTTTCCCTTTTTTTTCTCCCCCTTCGTGTCGTTTTTTGTTGCCTGTTAAAATAGAAAATGTGTTTTTTTGTCCTTTTTATTTCCTATATTTTTTCTTTCCGTTACTTATTTGTCCGTTTTTTTGTTACTTTTTTGTCCGTTTTCTTCCTACCGTTTTTTCATTTGTCATCTTAATTTTTGTGTTTTTGTTACATTTTTTGCCTTTTTCATTGTATTTTTTGTCGTTTTTTATTCCGCCTTTTTTTGTTACCTTTTTTTGTCGCATTTTTGGCTGCATCTTTTTTTATGCGCCTTTTGTTTTCTCGCATTTTTTTTGTCATTTGGTAATCTTCTTTTTTATTAGTACTTTTTGTCGCGTTTTTTTGTGTTTTTTTGTCAACTCTTTTGGTCTTTGTTTCTTTTTTTTGTCACCTTTTTTTCCTTTATTTTGTCGCTTCTTTTTTGTTCACCTCCTTTTTTGATGTTTTTTCCTCGTTTTTTGATCGTTATCGTTGTTTTGTAGCATTTTTTCGTCGCATTTTTTTCATCTCCTCTGTTTTATATATATATTTTGGTTTTTTGTCACCTTTTTTTTAGCTTTTTCATGTAGCAATTTTTGTTGCCTTTTTGTGGGTTTTGTCCTTTTCTCCTCATCGTTTTTTTCGTTTTTTTTTTGTTGTAGTTCTTGGCTTTTTTCTGTTTTTTTTTTCGATTTGTTTGTGGTATTTTTTGACACTTTTGTATCGGTTCAATTGTCACTTTTTCATCATATTTGTCCTGCTTTTTCTTATCGTTTTTTCTCTCTTTTTTTAATCATTTTTTGTATTTATATTTGTCGCCTTTTTTTCGTTTCACTTGTAACTCTTTTTTTTGTATTCTCCATTTCCTTTCATTTTTTGTTTGATGTTTTTTTTGTTTTTTCGTAGCTTTCTTATTGTATTGTTCTGTTCATAGCATTTTTGTAAACCTTTTTAATCTGATTTTTATCCTTTTTTTGTCTTTTTCCTTTTTATTTTTGACCTTTTGTGGAATTCTTTTATTGCCATTTTTTGTATTTTGTTTCTTTGTTGTTGATAATTTTGTTGTTTTTGTCGCCTTTTTTGTTGCTTTTTTCTCTTCTTCTTATTCAATAGTTATTTCTTGCCTCTTTTGTCCAGTTTTTTATCTTCTTATTTGCTGTTTTTTTTTGTAGCATTTTTTAATCCCTTCTATTGCCACTTTTTCGTTGTTTTTTCCTCTTTTTTTCTTATCGTTTTATCATCTTTTTTAAATCATGTGTTTTGTCGGTTTTTTTTCGTTTATTTTGTAACCCTTTTTTGTATTCTCCCTTTCCTTTCGTCCTTTGTTTTTTCATTTTTTTGTTTTTTTTGTTGTTTCGTCCCTCTATTATTGTTTTTTATGACATTTTTGTAACCCTTTTTATTGTGGCTTTTGTCATCTTTTTTTCCCTTTTATTTTTGACCTTTTTTCGAATTTTTTTATTGTCTTTTTTCTCTCATTATTTTGTCTCTTTATTATTGATACTTTTGTTGTTTTGTCGTCTTTTTTGTTGCTTTTTTGTCTTCTTCTTTTTCAATAGCTATTTATGCTTTTTTGTCAATTTTTGTATCTTATTTTTTTTGTCTTTTTTGTGTAATTTTTTTATTGCTTCTATTGCCACTTTTCCGTTGTTTTTTTCCCTCCTTTTTTTCCTACCGGTTTTTCTCTTTTTTTAAATTATTTTTTGTCTTTCTTTTGTCGCCTTTTTTTGTTTATTTTGCAACTCTTTTTTTGTATTTTCCTTTTTCTTTCGTCTTTTGTTTTTTGTTTTTTCGTCACTTTGTTATTGTTCTTTTTATGGTATTTTTGTGACTCTTTATAGTGATTTTTGTCCTCTTTTTTGTTTTTATTTTTGACCTTTTTGTCTTTTTCTCTCATTATTTTGTCTCTTTATTGTTGATACTTTTGTTGTTTTTGTCGCCCTTTTTGTCTTCTTCTTTTTCAATAGGTATTTGTTGCATTTATTGGTCCATTATTTTAATCTTCATTTTTTGCTGTTTTTGTGGCATTTTTTTATCGCTTCTGTTGCCACTTTTTCGCTGTTTTTTTTTTCTTTTTTTCAAAACCATGTTTGTACTTTTTTGTCGCCTCTTTTTCGTTTATTTTGTAACTCTTTTTTT